CTGGCTTTCAGGAAAAAAACAAATCCTTACTCATTCACATCAGATGCTTGTTAAGTTCTGAGAATGGCTTGCGGGAGGGCTATCAATAAAAAGGACAAAAGCCCCTTTTGTTCGAAAAAATTGTCCGTTAGACGAGTAGCTGTCCGTGGATGGTGCGGCCGTACACCAAGGCTCGTAGGCCTGCACAAGCTATGAACGCCAGTGGGAAGGTGAATCTGACCGGGATACCTCTGACCGCTGCATCCTCGAGTACATGCCGAGAACCGCGGGACACGAGGGCTTACTTCTTTGGGTGCTTGGACGATGTTCTCCTTCCAAAGCTCGATGCTGGAACGTTGGGCTCGGTTCTTTGGGTGCTTGGACGAGGTTCTCCGGCCAAAGCTCGGTGTTGGAACGCTACTCGCTCTAGAGTGTGCGAAACCTTGGATGCTCATCTCAGCCGTGGCTGGTCTGCCCTCGGTCGCCGGCGGTCTGCTTTGCCAAGAAGATCCGCTTCAGCCGGGAATAAGGTCTGGTTTTGGTCGCACGGGTGTGACTCGCCTCGCCGGTAACTGGTGCTTCAATCGCTGGTTTGCTGCTGGAGTTGCCCTTGCGGAGGGAAGAACTTTATGGGATTTGGAAAGGGGAATTGGTGTGGAAAGTCGATTTGTTCGGGAAATTCGTGGAATAACTGACGGGCTAAGGCGATTTGTTCAAGAAGAGTTTGGAACAGAAAAAATATGAAACTGTCGTGAAAGAAGGAAGAGAAAACAATCTCTTTAAATTATAGTTAATAAAATATTGACAAAAACAATTATTAAATATGTAAAAGGCCACATAAGATGACACGCAAGCAGCTGGTTTCATAATAAAAACCAGCGGATGGTTTCTTAGAAAAACTGTATAATTTTATAGAATGAAATCTCCACAACTATTCAAAAATATATTGTAATAATATCTTCCTAATATAATTATACATGCCTCCTACCTTCTTTCTTTTTAATTGGATGTATCTAACGTTAAAAACAATCGCTTTCATACACTCATTTTACCCTAATAAACAATTTATTCCTATTTATTAATTTTTCGAACATTGTATTTGGTTTAACCAAACAACATTAAAACCAAATACCACTCCCCAAATCACAATAATCTCAAAGCCAACAAAACAAATATTCACAAAAAAAAAAAGAAAAAATGAAAATAAAAAAAGTTGAAAAGACAGTTAAGCCCCCCTGCCTTTCTCGCCTCTCTCTCCCTATCATCATGAGTATAAATATCATCAGGGAATGAAAACTGCCACTCGCACTCTGAGACTGCAAACAAAAAATGATGACGCCACCTCTCGTCGTCGCCCTCTCGTTTCTATACTCATTTCTCATTTCTTCTGCTCTTTTGTTTTCAGATTCAAACAATGGCGAAATATCTTCGTATCCGAAAACGCAGGCCGAGAAACTCATAAGGTCCCTCAACTTGTTCCCTGAGCATGAAGTGAACCGCCATCGGCCCGAATCAAATGATGCGTCGGTATCGGAGATTGTCGAGAAGCGATTCCAGTTCCCGTTCATGGAGGCTAATAATCCTGTTCAGGACTTGGGCCACCATGCTGGCTATTACTCTCTCCCGCACAGCAAAGCTGCCAAGTATGCGTTAAATAATTTATGCACACACACACACACACACTCTGTTTTATGTGTTTTTTGCGTTTGAATTTGAGTTATATCGGGTAGTCGATGGTTTTCGTGTGTGGAGATTTGGATTTATTGTTTGATGAGATCCCAATTGATGATTGGACTGGATTATTGTGAAACGAAGAATGTTTTTGATTCATAAAATTTATTTGAATTTACACTATTGCTTGCTGACAAAATCATCTTATAATTACAGGATAATAGTAAGGGCCATATATGTTGTCAGAGTTGTAAAAGATCCCTTTTGTATGTATTCATTTAAAATTTGTAGTGTATTCAATGCAGATATATGCAATTTTTTTTTTAAAAAAATAAAAAATTTGTACTTGCAATTCTTTTGTGCAGTGTATTAAATGCATGTATATATATATATGCATATTGAGGTGTACAGATCTGTATATATTTTTCTTTTTTTTTTTGTTGCTTTTTTCTTTAGCTTGTTTCTTTTGTGGGTCGGCTTCCTGATGTAATGGTCGTGT